CTAAACAAAAAGCCTCTCCCTGGACTCCAAAATAATGATTCCAAAAAAAAGATTCTCACTGGACACCAAAATAATGGCCCCAATTACTTATTATACACTTACAGTTTTACTCCCAGTCCAATACTTAATGTACCAAGGTTACTACTAATTTCCTTCCTGCCTATGGGCAGATTTCAGTTATGTACGAAAAAGCAGATTCACTAGCTACTTCTACAAAATGATGGCAACCTGTAAGTGGAAAAAGTGGAGAAAAAAATCCCAGGCCTCCTGACTTTTAGCCCGAAAGTTCTAGGTTCATCTCAGATACAGTAGTTGTGTAACTCTGAGCAAGTAGGTTAACCTTTCTGAGCTTCAGTTCTCTCATCTGTGAAATTTAAAAAAAAAAAAAAGACTTGGACTCGTATTCTCTAAGGTCCTTTCCAGCTCCAACTCTTTTGACTGATCCCAGCATGGCAAACTCCAGAGAAAAACTTTCAGTGTGAACTATGGTTCAAAGTGAGGCCGAAAAAAACAAAGAACACCTCCCCTTCTGGCCGTGCTTTAAAAACAACAAAAAACTTTAAAACACTTCACACAATCATTCACACACACAAAAGATTACCTGTGGGACCAGAACTTCCCTCTCTCCTTCCCCCGATCCCTAACCTGGAAAAGGCCACGAAATCACTAGACAGAGAGGAATCGATTCCCACCCCCGGGAAGCAATAATCCCTGCTGCTCTAGTGGTTGGCCCTGGCCCACCCCACCTCTCTGCCAGCCTCCCAGGGAAGGCCTGGCCTTCACCCCAGTCCTCGCAGGGAGGCTGCGGGGGTGGGGGGTTGGGTGGAGAGTCACTCCTCACGCCCGAGGCGAGCGAAGCTGCGCGCTCGGGAGACCGAGTCCTGAGGGAGCCCCCACCCCGCCTCGCCAGCTCTCGGGGGTCCTTCCTTACGTGTTGTCCTGGTTGAAGTTGGCGAAGAGCAGCTGGCTGGAGCCGGCCTCCCCGCTCTGACTGGCCAGGTTCATGGCTGAGAGGGGGGGCCTGGGCTCGGGCGCTCTACCTCCGGGCCCGGGAGAGACGAGGGAGTCAGGGTCGGCTCCGGGCCCCGGTCTCCGCCGCCGCCGTCTCCTCCGTCGTGGGTCCTCCAGCTGCTGTGGCTGTTGCTGCCGCTCCTGCTCCCGCTGTCGCCGCCGCCGCCGCCGCTCGTTGCTCCAACTTCTGCCGTCGCCTCATCCCTTCCCGTCTCTTGTTTACGCTCCAGGTCCTAAACCTCGCAGGGCGCTTGCGCCGCTCCACCCCCACGGCCGCACACGACCGGGGTCGCGCACAGGCGCAATAGCCACAACACGCGTGTGGTGCGGGCTCACGGTGGCCGCGAAGGACGCTGGTTCTGCATGAGTGCGCACGCGCGACGCGTGAATCACGGTCCAGTGGCCCATCTCGAGGAGCGGCGCCGCTGAGCCCGGGAAACTGCGCTTGCGTGAGTGAGAGGTCTCCCTGGCGCATACGCATTGAGATTTTGAGAACTGAGACGACTGTTCCATCTCTGTGGGGGGTGTTTACGTTTTAGCTAGAACAGAAATTGCTAACTTTAATTTGTGTGTCATATGGTAACTTGATGAAGTCTACGGACGACCCCTGCCGAGAATAATATTATTGCCAACATTCAAAATTGAAGGAAATGGTGGATTTCAGTTAGATGTTAGTGAAAATAAAGATGTAAAAATTCACCCAGATTAAGAACGGCTGGGTTCTATAGACTTGCTCGCTGCGCCCATTTATAGCTAAAGCGGGTGCATTCTGTGAGTTTGCAAGTGGTCTAGCTTGACTTTGCAAATGGTGGTGGTCCATTAATTCAACAAATAATTACAGGATGCCTGCTGTGGGCATAGTTTCATATAAGTACAGACAGCTGAGGATAAAGGTCAAGTCATCAAGGAACAAAAAGCATGTATTAATTGCTTACTATGTTCCCGGCACACAGTAAATAGAAGATGTAATCTTTTAAAAGAAGTAGAAGACATAGCCTTTGACCTGTTTACAGTCACTCAGGGAACGTGAGACCTGTACCTATAAAGAATTAGTAGCCACTGGGGAGTGTTCGATTCAATTCGACAAACATTTACAAAGCAGTTAGGAAAAAATGTAGGGAGCAAAATACAAGTCCTGCCCTCAAGGGGCTTACTCTCTGGTGGGGAGGTGAGAGAAGCAAATGCATAAATAAGTTAGAAAATATTAAGTCTAGAGAACAGAAAAGTAAAGCATTCATTGGATTCAGAGTATATGTGTTAAAATTACCAATACACAGTTGGCTACCTGTGTGACTGGGAAAGTCACAGGACAGTAGATTTGGAGCCAGAAGGCACCTTAGAGCTTAGTTTAGCTCAGCCCCATCATTTTATAGGTTAGGAAACTGAGGCCAAAGAGTATAAGTGTTGAGACCCAAAGTCCCACAGGTAGGAAGCTGCAGAATCAAGAATCAAACTAAGATCTAAAGCTAAAGCCAACACTTTTCCTGCAATACTACGATGCCTTTTTACGTGAGTCTTAGCAGCCTCACCTTTAGAATGAAGGAAGCTATTGAACTAGGTGCTCCCTAAAAGACTTTCCAGCATTAAATTCTGGAGCCTATAAAAGGTCAGGGTACTCCAATCCTTATAGCTCATCTCAAAATCTCTACAGTAATATTTCTGTCCACCCCAACATTACAATGAATTCCATTTTCATCCTACAGTCTTTAGCCTCATGTTTCTTATTATAATCTAGAAAAACCTCAGGTTTTCTAGTTGTAGTTGTTTTTTAAATCAGAGAGGCAATCTCTGCTCTAGTCATACCCTACTCCTCCTACTTTACACTCCTATCCCCAAGTGCCCTGGCCCTTTTCTGGAATCCCTTGTATTTGTAATCTTTTGTGCTTAGAACCTTCCAAGCTAGAACATTCTAGTTCTCTACTTAATAGGCAAAGAATCATCAATCAATAAACATTCATTAAGCACCTGCTATGTACCAAGCATTGTGCTGAGCACTAGGGTTACAAAAAGAGGCAAAAGACAGCCCCTGCCCCCAAGGAGTTTACAATCTAGTGGGGAGACAAGAAGGAAACAAATATATGCAAAGTGAGGTACATACGGGATAAATAAGAAATAATTTACAGACGAAAGACAAACAGAACATTGAGATAGGCCTTGTGTAGGAGGACCCTTAGTTGACAGAAAATTCCACACTAATTTGAAGAGGAAGAAGGTTTGCAGACTCTTGTCGTGGCCCTAGAAAACAAACTTGTAGCCCCTGGTTGACAGAATTAGAATCTTGGTTGTCCACATTCAGCCTTGCCAGGTTTCTTTCTACAAGTCAATATCTAAGACTTAACAATATCTAATATGCTGACCATAGTGAAACATCATTTGGAAAGGAAGTTTCCCCATCTCTGTGTTAGTAGACCTATATGAGTTATATGTTGCCCATATAAAGTGTGTGTATTCACACGGGCTGTCTAAATGCAGCTCTCAGGAGGCATTGATAGCTATCTCTGGTACCTTGCCTAACCTTCCCCAAGGGAAATTTTGATTTTTGCCTGGAGGAGAGCAGGACAAAAAGCCTGGCTACTGTGTTTTCTGAAAGAGAGGTACCAGACTAGAATTATATTTATCTGCTCCCCTTCCTAAATTGTCTAGGGGAATGATTTTTTTTTAGTTTCAAAAGCTACAAAGCTACAAGATTCCCTGATCTCTGGCCTTTAAAAGGGAAGGAATAGCCCCAATCTTACACTTGCTGCCTTCACTCCTTCCCACCAAATGCTAGTTATACAAAAGACCTTCACAGATAGTGAATATTGAGTAACCTCATTTATCCAGGCAGACAGGATATAGAAATGAGAGATGTTATACAGATGAGAATATGCCAGAAAATACACAGAATGAATGAGCTCTTCCAATGAGAGTGAGTGAGATACACCAAGATGGAGGCTTTCTATCCTCTCACCCAAGGGAAAAATTCCCGTAAGTCTCTAGGGAGGCAGAGCTGGAAATTAAGGCTATGTTGAAGAGCTTGCTTTCCCCTATATATCTGCCTTCCAAAGCATTTCTCTTTCCAGGGGGCTCTCTGTGAAGACACTCTAGAACCATGTATATTGCTTTTTTTTGGAAGTAGGGAAGACTCTCACGCAGTCTCCCAGCCTCAAATTATCATTCACCACAGTGATCTAGAATCGCTGGATTAGTGCTTGGGAACAGCAGCATGCAAAATGTGTTGGGCTTGAAACTCGGGTTTCAGTTGGAATGTCACAAATGCTTGGGCTTCTTGGCTTTCCTTGTGAAAGCCCCCTTCCCTGTACTTTAGGGTCTTCCACGCATATACTTTCCTGCCCTGTTGTTGAGGTGTCTCGACAGAAATTAACTGGAAGGATAGATTACTGATGCTACTGACCAAGAAGGGGGTCCTTTCCAAACTTCTGACAGAAGGTAACTGGGAGAATCCCTTTTGCTGGACTTTTCTGTTCAGGGGGCAAGGTTTGCCTTAAGCTTCCTGAATACTCTTTTGGCAGTTTTCCCTTTCCCAGAGGACCTGAATTTTGAGACTATAGGTGGCTAAAACTAAGGTATTTATTTTTTGGCTAGACAGTACCCAACCTTCGTGTCCTCATTTACCTCTCTTTGGCTTTGTATTGCTAATGTTCTTATCCTTTCATTACAAATTAATCAGCAATTGTTGAGTGCCTACTACGTACCAAGTGCTAAACTCTAGGAATAAAGAGATAAAAGGGAAAGAGCCCTGGGCCTTATTGAGTTTACAATCTAGGGAGAATAGTGAAGAAAAAAATCCATCGATCCATCAATCAATTATCAGGCATTTATTAGGCCACCTAGGTTATTGTGGTGGAAATAAGTACAAAGAATCCCTATTCACCAGGAATTTAATCAACAAGTTAAGGACCTATTACAGCTAGGAATTGTCCTAAGGCTAGGTATGCAAACAAAGGCAAAAAACTAACAAACAAAAAATGGCCAACCTATAGAGTCCCTGCCCTCAAGAAGCTCACATTCGAATGGGAGAAATGACCTATGCCTGTGTACATACACAATCTATACACTATCTATAAATGCAAGGTAATCTCAGAGGGGAGATGTTGGGACTTGGGGGGTAGGGTGGGGGTGGGGGGGAGAACTGCAGAGGGCCTCTTAAAGATGTTAAGATTTGAGCTCAGACTTAAAGGAAGTCAGGGAAGCTAGGACTTGGAGGTAAGGAGGGAGAACATTCCAAGAATGGAGGATAGCCAGTGAAAAGGCAGAGGGAGGAGAAGGAGTGTCATGTGCAAGGAACAGCAAGAAAGTAAAGTGTAAGAACATTGGAAAGGTATGAAGGGGTCAGATTGTAAAGGGCTTTAAAAGCAAAACAAAGGATGTAAATTTGATCATGAAGTATTTAATAGGGAGCCACTGGAGTTTATTGAGTGGGGGAGGAGGGGCTGGGTAACATGGTCAGACCTGTGCTTTAGGAACCTCACTTTGGCAGCTGGGAGAAGAGGATGGACTGGAATGGGGAAAGGAGTGTGCTGGTAACTTTAACAATTGGCTCTGGGAGGGGGGAAGGAAGTATACATGATATACTTTTAAGTTTAATCTGCATTGTTAACAATTCTCTCCATCACTTTCTTCAGTCTAGATCAGAGATTCCCAAACTTATTTGGCCTACAGCCCCCTTTTCAAAAAAAAAAATTACTCAGTGCCCCCCAGGGAATCTACTTTCTTTAAAACCCTTTAACATTTTTTTTTGGGAAATTTTTGTCATTTCAAAAAAATATAAAATTTTTTTTTAATATTAAATGTAATAATTTATTGTAAATTTGTGGTTTTTTTCTTGCATTGAAATTTTGATGATCCAATATTATGTTATGTGACCCTGTAGTATTGTATTGTAAACAAGTCATTACATGCACATATTCCTGCCAGTGCATGCTAGCCATGCTTGCCTGCCAACACTTGCTTGTTAAGATGTCTCAGCAGACTTGACCAATTATAACTTGCATTTTGTGTGTTTATTTGGAAAATAATGTGATCACTACAACTTTAACTCTTATACAACAGATGAAACATGTATGAGTGGCTTTTCAAAATTTTCTTCTTTATGCTCCCACAGCCGCCTTATTTTTATTCAAAGTCCCTCAATTGCACCTGAGACTACAACTGCCCCTGAGACTACAACTGCCCCCTGGATCATTCCACCTCCCCCCAGGGAGCAGTATTGCCGGCTTTGGGAATCTATGGTCTAGAATGATGATCAACAAAACAGTAAGTCAAGCCTTTGCTGATTTCCCAGGTGTAATGCTCACAATGAAAATTTAACAGTCAGCTGTCGAGAGCAGGCAAGAGGTGGATCCAGCACACGCTGGCTGAAGAGAGACTTGAAGCAAGGAAATCAACCAGCAGGCTATGGCAGTAGTAAAGGCATGAGGTGATGAGGGCCTGTCCTAGGGTAGTGGAGGTATGTTCTACCTACCCAGTTTTGCTACCCAGAATTCTATCTCACATATCTGTGCCTTTGTATGAGTAACTTCTTACTCCCTAGGCCAGGAATGTACTCCTTTATTCTTAGCATCCCTCTTTTTCTTCAAAGTTCAGCTCAAGTGGTACCTCTTATATTGGGACTTTTTGGATCCCTCTTCCCAGCTAATATTGCCTCTTTTACACATACTAAATTAACATATTTACTTTGTATATGTATATTTTCCCCTCTATACATGTATGTGTTGTTTTCCCATGCAGGCAGAGACTTTTTCATTTTTGCCTTTATGTCGCATGGGCCTAGCAGAGTGTCTGACACATAGTAGGCACTTTATGAATACTTACTAACTGAACTTCATGGGGAACAGCTAGTAGCAAACCAGATATGGCAGTGAGGCAGATGTATACTTAATGTAAAGGAAAACTTCCTAACAGTTGGAGTTATCCAACAGTGGAATGGGCTTCCTCTGAAGCCACGTCAACAACAAGCATTTGTTAAGTGCTGACTGTGTGCCAGGCACAAAAAGAGCAAAAGATAGCATCTGCTCCCAAGGACTTCATGTCTAATGGGGAAGGTGACATGCAAGTAACTACATACAAACAAGATATAGAGAGAATAAATTGGAAATCACTAAAGGTCTTTGAGTGAAGGCTGAATGATCACTGATTGAGGAAGTTGTGTAGGAGACTCTTCTACAGGTACAAGTTGGTTTAAATCAGAGGTTCTCTAAATCAGAGATTGGCCTACCGCCCCCTTTAAAAAAAATTACTCAATACACCCCTGGAAATCTTTAAGCCTTTAACTTTTTTAAAAATTTGCACCATTTCAAAAAATATAATTTTTTTAAAATGGCACATCTTAAACTTAATAATTTATTGTAAATTTGTGGCTTTTCCTGCATCAAAATTTTGATGATGCAGTATTGTATCATGTAACTGTATGGTATCATATTGTAAACAAGTCATTACATGCACATATTCCTGCCAGTGCACGCTGGACTTCCCGACAACGGGCAAGATGCTTGCCTGCCAACACTTGCTTGTTAAGGCTTCTGGTTTTCCATTTACTTGGCTTCAAGTGTATAGAAGCGGATAGAGGATGGGGGTGACCTGAAGCTGTCCATAAAAAGTATGACAGTGCGTGAGCATGATGTCCTATTTGACATGTACCTCCTTAAAGATGGAAAATGTATCCAACATTTATTGGTTGCTAATAAAACAGAAAAAAAATAATGTGCTAAAATTGGATTATGAAGGAGAAAATACTATCTATGTGGAGAAAGCTGATGCACAGAAATATGTTATGTTTTCTACACATAACATTCAAAATGAGACAGAGACCGTGATGTGGAGCTTTACAGACGGACCAAAGTTGTAAAAGAAAACGTCAAAAAACTCTTTAAGAACCTTTACCAAAAAAAAATGGAATCAATAAGGATGATATCATTGATATGACCAAAGATAATGAATGCAATAAAGATAGAGAATAGAAGAGTCATCACCAGCCTACAGGAAAACCCAAGATGTACTTCCCTGACCTGCTGGAATCTGCCCTGGCTTCAGAAAAAGCATCTATTAATAGTTCACAGATACTCAAGTAGTCCATTTGACTTCTAGTCTGTCACTCTTCCTCCTCAGAGTCATTCATCCTTCTGTCTCTACCTTGATCCCTGGATGAAACCTTTTCCTAAATATGCTCAATAAGTGATTCAGCTTGTTAAAACAAACAAATAAATAAATAAAAACATTTAAGGCCAATGACCTGGGAACAAAGAAATAAACCTGACTTGACCACTGATGGGTTATAATTTGCATTTTGTGTATTTATTTGGAAAATAATGTAATCACTACAACTTTAACTCTGTTACACAACAGATGAAACACATACAAATGCTTTTTCAAAATTTTCTTCTCTTTTTTCCTTATGCTTCCACTGCCCCTTTATTTTTATTCAACATCCTCCAATTGCACTACCACTCCCCTGGGTCATTCCAGCAGCCCCCAAGGGACAGTATGGTCCACTTTGGGAACCTCTGGTCTAGATGGTCTTTGACAGAGGTGTCAAACTTGTAGCCCACAAACCAGTGCATCCCAAACCAGATTAAAAACGTAATTGGGAAATGTTTAGTAAAATAAATAAAAATACAATACAACACAATGTTAATTTGTGGCATTCTAAGGCGATTTATGGCCCAAAGGCATACATTTCTATTTGTTTGACACTACTGATCCATGATATCCCTTTCAATCCTGAAATCCTGTGATTCTGTGATGGAATGGAAGATGAAGAGACTAGAGAAGTGCAAAACAACAATTAGATAATTACAATAACACATGGTTGCTGCGATAAAGAACCAAACAGTGGAAAAGAATGGATAGAAGCCTATTACGGAAGAAAAAGAAACAATTTGCAGACCGTTTGGATATGGGGTAAAGAAAAGAGAAATTAAAAACAAACTCAGGTGTGGAACCTGAATAACTAGGAAAATGAAGATGCCATTAGGGAAGGGGAGAGGGAAGGAGCTTCTTCAAGAGTGAGTAGAAACTGCTTCAAAAGGAGGGAAAGGAAAACGAGTTGGTTTTAGACATACAAACAATGGAATGTTGTTGTGAATAAGTCTAGTAAATAAACCAGAGCTTTCAGGAGAAGTCAAATCTATTGACTTTGTTTAAGAATTCTATTCCAGATTTGCTTTGATAGGTCAAAAACTTAACTTTAATTCAATTTGGTTTTGAGCATCCATGTGTGTAAGGTGATGTGTCTGGTGGTGCAACAGATGTGTAAAGATGAAGTAGACATAGTTCCTATCCTCCAAATATCTACAGTCAGCTGCCCTTCCCACATACCCTGTTTCTGTTAATGGTCCCACCATCCTTCCAGTTTCTCAACCTAGAAATTCAGGAATCATCTTTGATTCTTTACTCTTCTTTACTCTTTATCCTAAACTTTTATTTTGTTTGTCGCCAAATGGTGTCATTTCTGCCTTCAAAATGTCTCTCAAATTCATCCCTTTCCTTTCATTCCAGTCATTCTGTTCCAAACCTCCATTGTAGGGTCATAAATTGAGAATGAGAAGAGGACTTAGAAATCATCTGTTTCAACTCCCAAACTTAACAAATGAGGAAATAAGGCCCGTGGAGGTTAAGTGACTTTGCTATAGCTAGTTAGGGAGTAAATGACAGAGCCACAGTCCTCTGTAAATCCTATGTTGTTCAGTTATTCCTACTCTTTAAAGATACTGAAGCATTTTGTCACTTCCTTCTCCAGCTCATTTAACGCATGAGGAAACTGAGGCCAACCCGGCGAAACAACTTCCCCAGGGTCACACAGCTAGTAAGTGTCTGAGGCCAGATTTGAACTCAAGAAGATGGGTCTTCCTGATTCCAAGCCAATTGCACTTCACCACCTAGATGCCCCTATACTATTTCCATTCTTCTTGCTTCTTTTCTCTATCCAATCTCCCCTCTTCTGATTCATCCTGCCTAATGTTGCTAGACTAACCTTCCTAAGACAGCATCTTTATTATGTTAATCCTCTGTTCAAAAACCTATCAATGGCTCCCTATTGTCCATTGTGTCAAGTCCAATCTCTTCTGCCTAGCTTTCAAGACCCTCCATAGTCTGACTTCATCCATCTTTCCAACCTCATTACTCAGTACTCTGCTCTAGCTATAATGTCTCCTCGTTGTCTCTCTCACAAGAGATATTTATTTTTATCCCTAAAGCCTTTGTTCCTCTGATTTCCCTTCTTTGAATTTCATCTTCTTTCCACCCAAATTCTAACTGTAGAATTCAGAGGCAGCTGGTGGCACAGTGGATAGAGTGCTAGGACTGAGTTCAAATCTAAGATCAGAGGTTTACCAGCTCTGTGACCCTGGACAAGTCACTTCTATTTGCCTCAGTTTCCCCAACTCTAAAATAAGGATAATAATAGCATCTACCTCACAGGGCTGTTGTGAGGCTCAAATGTGATAACATTTGTAAAGTTCTTAGGACAGTATCTAGCACATAGTAGGCTCTATATAAATGTTTCTTTCTTTCTCTCCCCCTTCTCTAAAACAAGGGGTTTATACCAGGTCAACAAAATCAAAACTAAATGCTGTCTAATTTTAATCACCAAGCTTAGCTCCAAAGAAGACATATAAGAATGGACCTTTCTCCCTTCTTTGCAGAAGTAGGGGAATATGGATGCACTTCATACGCTGGCAGACTTGATTGATGTATTATCTGGTTCTATTGGACTGCTTTTTTTCCTTTCTTTTTCCTCCCCTGCTATAAGTTCATGTGAGGTTTCATGTTACCCCATATGTAGCAATCCCATGGACAAGGATGTGATGCAAGGTGAGAATAAGACCCCTCAGGTGATCTCAGGGACAAATATACAAACCCCTACTTCTCAGCCTCCTACTGTTCTATTACCTTATTTGTTCTCTCACCTGGTTCAAAGGCAATCAAGGGGTGAGTTCTGATATTGCCTTATAAATGACTAAAACTGCAAACCTCCCTCATGAATTCATTAATTAGCTTTGAGCCTTCACCTGGGTAAAACTGGGGAAACTTTTTTTTACATAAACGTTTACTCCTTTGTAGTTTCAAACCCCAAACTCAGACTGTCTTTCATGTGGGAGACAGTGTGGTACAGTGGTAAGAGCCCTGGACTTGGAGACAAAGGCCCTGAGTTCAAGCCCTGGAGGTGCTGCTTACTATCTATGTGTGTGACCTTGGGCAAGTCTTTTAACCTCTTGGGGCCTCAGCTTTACTCATCTGAGGGAGTTAGACTGCTAGGT